AGCACATGAGGCTACTGTAAGGAAGTTACTTTGGGCTCTGTAATTGGAAGAAAAATGTGGAAGAAATGTGTAAAGTTCTTCTATATTTCTGTTTACTTTTTAAAAAAATCCCCTATGTAATAATTGTACATCTTCTAGTCTTCATTATTCCATTTCTTAGCAGCTGGTGATATATTCTAGTTGATATGAAGCATAACACCCATTTTAAATACTTTGGAGAATAGTCAGTGACCCAAATACTGAAAATGATGTCTTGTCGGTTTCTGTTTAGTAATTTCACTCATTTCTCCTTGATTTATAGTCAATCCATCCTCTTGAAAATTCATTTAGTGTCTCTGTTGTCTTTATGCTACTTTTTGTCTGATTTAGGATCATGCTCCTCACTCTTTTCATTTAATTTAATCAGAGCTTTTAAGAGATATTCCAGCCCCTTTCATTTTAAAGGTGTGAAACTAACAAGGAAAATGAAGGAATTGTCTAAGGCTACTCAGGTAGAAGAGAGATGAACTCTGAGTCTTTTCACTTCCAATTTAGGATGTTGCAGCTGTTTTTTTTTTTTTTTTAATTCTTTAATATATTGTCAAGAAAGGTCGAGGATATATCTGTTCTTTACCATATGATGAATTGATAGGTGCAACGATAGGTACTTTGAATGGAAATTACATTAAAAATTTTAAAATCTTTTGCCTCTAAAGCATTTAAATTAGAGAGACACTTTTTTAGTACTGTTAATTACATATTAATTACATCTTAAATACATGAATAATTTAATATGTTCATCATAGTACTAAATGTGAACAAGATATATGTGAGACTTGACATACTTCACTTTTAGATTTTTCTTAGTCTTAAAGGGCTGTTAGATACTTTGTATCAAATGGAAAACCTACAAAGAACAAATTTTTTTTTTCTTAAAAGTTGTTAGACCATCTTTTCATTTAGAAAAACAAGGATGTCCCAAGTTAAACAGGTAAAGAGTTTGGTTCTCTCTTTCTGGATCTTATTTGTTTAAAAACCACAGAGGAAATAGGGTCGGTGTCAAAAATATTTAAATTCTAATTATTTGGTTCATTATTTTTAGTCATTATAAAAATGCCTCTCCTCCCACCCCAACAGAAATAGCTAATTATGAAGTTTATAAATTTAAATAAAGTAAATTTAGGGATTTTATATCTTAAAAAGAAAAAAAGAATAATTGTTATAATTGTATTTCTGGTCATAAAAATAGATAGAATGAAGGAAATGCTATCGAAAATATTATACATATTTATCCTTTGCCCCAGAGATGTTTTATTATCTAAAGAAGGTGAAAATTAAACAGTGTAAAAGTTGTTTCAAAACTCTTAAATCTTAATGCAAACATTTCAGCAGAACAGTTTTCTGAAGTAGAATTTGGTTAAATTGTGAGCAGCAGAGCTTTTGAGCATGGTGCCAGTCTGTCAATAGTTTGGCTACGGCTTCCTCCTCCTCCCACTCCCCACCTCAGAATTCTGATTTCCGATGTTTGATTGGAGATAAAACATGGTCTTTGCACTTCAGTCTTTGGACTTCAGTTACAGTTTTCTAAGTCGGTAAGCTTTCTGTAAGTTGGGATGTTGTTTTCTCAGATACAATTATTTCATCAAGGCGTTTAGGAAAATTTGAGCCTATTAGAGGGATATGATGCAATGTGTATACACAAAACCTAGAGATAAGAGAAAAGACAGTTGGGGAATTAGGCATCATTCCTTCGGTGTGTGTGCGTGCCCACTTCTTTGCCTCAGTGGCATGCTCTCCTCTCCTTCCCAGACCTCTTCTGTGTTTTCACCAGTAGTGATGGCCGGTTCTTCAGGGAGAGGCTGGGGAGGAAAATAGCAGGAGAGAGGAGGATTGTATCTTTGGGGAATGTCAGGAGGGAGGGCAGTGGGGGAATTGGTTTCCATGGGCAGCTCAGGGGAGAGAGCTCTGCCATAGGAGAGAAGTCACAGCTTGTGGGAGGTTCAGGGCAATAAAGAGCCAGGAATTAGACATGTCAGGGAGTCCCTGGAATTGAGAGAAAAAGAGCAATGAAGAATGCATTCGGACACCCTTAGAGGAGACCAGTGACAGAAAGCACTGGGCTCCTCCAGAGGATTCTGTCTGGAGCAGGGTGGGGGAGGGAGGGACTGTCCGCTTATTTTTGTTGTTGGACCCAGTAGGTCCCTAGTGGGAGGCAGGATCTCCATAGCCGTAGTTACAGATGGGTTGGCTGTGTCTGTCTCCTTGTGCATGTAAGTCTCGTTCCCATCTCCTCTCCCTTTTACCACCTTGCCTGTGCCTGGGAACGGCTAAGGCTGTCTGGGTGCTGCATGCTGTGGGGTATTTTGAGGCGTGACTTTATCAGAGCTGGCATCTCAGTGCAGAGGAGAATGCAGGGCAGGCTTGTTCTGGTTGGGGTTCCTGTCCCCAGACCATGGCCGGGTGGGACCATGGAGACATCCCCTGAACTCACTGGGTGCGAGCAGAGTCCCTGCTTCCAGGCTTGTCCTTATCGGTGTTTAAAACAGTGCCCAGGACTGCTTGTGCTATCTCTAAAGAGAACATCTCCTTCCCATTCTCTCCTCTTCCCTGTCAGTTATGAATATTTTAGAGGGAAGGCTTTTGTTTGAGCGGTTAGAAATGTGGAAAAACAAGATTACAAGGTCGGGGTGAAAGCAGTACAAGATTGGAAGAATGAAAGTCTTTTTCTTCACTCGCAGTAAAATGATACCCTTGGCGTGGGGCCAGAGAAACATGGGAGTTAGGATGGTGCGGACAGGACCGGCAACAAGTTTGTTAAGGAATGGGCCGAGCGGCCTCTGCCCTGCGGTTTACTGTTGCATCGGAGTTTTAACTCTTCGTGTTTAGTCCGTTGGAAGCCTGGTGGAGAGATTGCGCTGAGCTTTAAAACCACAGCAAAACAAAACTTCTCAACACGTGTGGCAGCCCGAGAGACCAGCACATTCTGTTTTAACAGCGCTATAATTTTTTTTTCTGAGAGTTTGCAGTATCTGTGGAATAGTTAACACCCCCCCCATTTTATCTATATTATAAATAGAATCTGAAGTATGTGAGCATGAAAATAAAGAAAACAGCATAATTTTTATGCAGAAAATATATGCATCTTCTGAATGTACCATTTATATGACATAACTAGCAGTGTTTTTATTCAGTACATTTCAGAATACTGTATTCTTAGAAAATTCAAAGTAATTTTAACTTTTTTCTTGAAAATATAAGTATATTTGTGATTAGTAAATAATTATGCAGTATTTTTAAATTTTAAAGTATTTCTGTAAAATTTATTATAATTTATAATAATAAATATTTTTAGCAAAACCCATATACATCATAAAATAACTTATTATCAAGCTCTCTTCAAATATTGGATTAAATTTTTATTTTTACTAATTATCCATAGTTTACAAAAGAAACATTTATTGAGATCAAGATGTAATTTTATTGTAAATTTTTTTTTATGAGATGGATGCAACAATATAAAAGTTTAAAGATATTTTCCATTCTTTCCTGGGGGGGGGGGGGGAAAGGCCTATTTATCCTTTGTTATTTTGTATTTATAGTCATTCATTCTCTTTTTTTTATATATATATATTTTATTGATTTCACACAGAGAGGAATTGAGAGGGACAGAGAGTCAGAAACGTCGATGAGAGAGAAACATCGACCAGTTGCCTCTTGCACAACCCCCACTGGGGATGTGCCTGCAACCAAGGTACATGCCCTTGACCGGAATCGAACCCGGGACCTTTCAGTCCGTAGGCCAACGCTCTATCCACTGAGCCAAACTGGTCCCGGCTATTATAGTCATTCATTCTTTAAGTCAATGGAGTATATATATATTAAGTGCTCATTAAACTTACATTGTTTCCTTTTTAGTCTGTTGAGATGATAAATCATAAGACTATCTTTTGTAAACATTAATAAAATATTTGTATTAGTAAAGCTGGTACACTTTTTAAAATTATTAGTCTTAGGTTAAAAACCCAGGCGTTCGTTTGGTTAGCCGTGACAAGCATGTCTATATGTCTAGCCCTCATCATTTAACATGATCGACTGTTATTTACCCAAAAGAATTACTGCATACTGAGTGACCTTGTGTGAATAAGTCAGTAGGTTGGAGCCTCAGTTGTCATACCTATATAAACAGAAGTGGTAACACTTACATTTGTGAAGATTGTTATAACTACATGTATGTTTGAGCCCCCTATATATTTACAATATATAGGTGCTCAGTTTTGTTAAACATTACTATCGCTCAGTTACTTATTGTTATTATTTATACCAGAGGCCCGGTGCACAAATTCATGCACAGAGTGTCCCTCAGCTAGACCTGCAAGACCACCAGCATCCCTCAGCCTGGCCTCTAGCCAGAGGCTCCTCCCCTCCTTTCACACAGCCTCTGGGAAGATGCTTGTCCTGGGGCCTCCTCACGGTGCTGGCCCACTACCCCTGGCAGCTTGGGTAGTCGGGGGCTTGGGCTCTCAGGTCCGGCTTCCCCGCCCTGCGCGGTGAGCATCAGCTGCCATGGGAGCTGTGCCTCACGAGTCCTCCCCTTGGACCATACTACTTGCCAGTGCCGGGGGGGAGGGGCGGCCACCGCATCAGTGATTTGATGTCTGAAGTGTGCACAGTGGCACCATGCTGGCCACGTCTGGACTGTGGGCAGGGGGCTTCCAGTCTGCAACTGTGGCTGCCAGGCTGCGGCTGGGGGCTGCAGGCGGAGGACCCCAGCACCCATAGGGCTCAGTCAGCATTAGGAACTGGAAAGATCCATTTCTCTGGGTCCTCACCTGCCTCCACGTGGCCGGGACCCTGGGCTTGCAGCCCCAGAGACCCCTTCCCTCCCTTTGCGGCCAACGAGCAGACACTGGGCTTGCGTTGCTGGGGTGACACTGCCAGAATCTGCTGTGGGGACCACTATTTTGTCACAGAGTGACAGTTAATTTGCATATCACTCTTTTATTAGATAGGATTATCATTATTGTGATCACCATATGGACTCAAGTCTTCCATGATTCCTTGCCTCCGTGCTGTCTTCTCTTCCTCTGTTTTCACCACTGGCTACCTTACAACGGTCTAGAATAGAAATATTTTCACACTTGACTCCATCACGATGCCTTCATGCTCTCGCACAGCAGCGGAGCCATGCTAGGGAAGCACTGCTTTTCTCCTCCCTTCCCCCTGATGGCGGGGGGTGGGACAGAAAGAGTGAAACACTTCATTATTTTGTTAGCTGTTGAAATCTTGAGAGTGACATCTTGTTTATTTTTGCAATCCCCTATTGTTTGTGTGTTGGAAGCAAAGAAAGGGCGCAAAAACAACTTCCGAACTTGTCCTGGTGAATTGTGAGCTGCTCTGCTTTAGTTCTTTTTGTACTACATTTAATGGTCAAGTACTGTGCTACACTGTACATTGGAATTCACTATTGAAAGTTCAGTTTTAAATTTTTGTCCTTTTTTTCCACTTTCCCTTTGTGCCTCAAGAGCTTAATACCTTTGCTCCCGCTGGATAAAAGTTGGGTAAACAGACACCTTGACAACTGCTAACAGTACCACACCTTGGCTTTGCTAGGCACAGAAGGGAGTCATTTATTTCGGGGTGAAACACCTGTCCCACCTGAAAGATGCAGCTCACAATTCCAATAAAATATGTTGTCATTGAAGCAATGAAGTTGTCCTAACTTTGAAAACATGTATGCACTGTATATGCTTCTTTCCCAGTTGTGTACTAAAAAGAAAAGAAAAAAAAAATCTAGGAAGCAGATTCAGGTTTAAGCCCAGAATCACTTCCTGTTGGCTTGCATGGTGACACTGTTCTTCTGAGTGCCAGTTTGATCACTAGCGACTGGTCATGGATCAGTTATCTGAAATGGCAGGCTTATTTGTTGAGGGAGGAATGACATTATTCCCTGTCCTTTACAGAGAGCTGAGGTGAGAATAAAGTGGTAAGAATGTCCCTCTGCACCTTGGGTGTGAATGTACTACCGTTTGTGCTACTGATTTGATTGCAACAGCTACTACTATCATTAGCATCTTGGACCAAACACGGAACACACTGTGCTGCATTTCATGTATGTTGGAATACAGAGGCTGATTAAAATACTGCGAAAGGCACCAGATTATTCATCTGATAGCTGACTGCGGCCTCATGAAACGTGGAGAGTCTTATCCTTGCTTTCATTTGTGGCCATTAAACCTTTTTCATCATTACCTTTGAGAAGACTTCCCCATGTGAAAGGAATTTGTTTTTGTATTCTCAGAATAATTTCTATAGTAGGTAGTGCCTATCACCAGAAAAACCTCCATGTGAAGAGAGCTTATTTATTGTAAGTCCTTTTCCTAGTGCATTCTTAAGGCAGACTGGAGTGAAGGTATCCACTCATTTCATTTCAAGTGCCTTTCCTAGACTTCCCTGGGTAAAGACACTTTTAATTTGACATCTGGGAGAAGAAAAACTCTTTTAGATTGGAGGAGTCCTATATAATAAAAGCCCAATATGCAAATTGCCCCCTCGGTTGGTCATTCCATTACTTGCCATGGTGTGCACTGACCACCAGGGGGTGGCATGGAACATGGCAGGCATCGGTGATGCGCTGTGACCTCTCGCCAGGCTACTTGGGGGTTGGGGTGGGGTGATGAGAATGGAGGTGCAGTGAGAATGTGGGGTGTCCACCGAGCTTGCTCTCACTCCTCCCCCCCCCCGGGGTACCAGGACACACACTCCAGGGAAGCCCCCCATGCTCAGGTGCCGGGTTTCTGGATCCCCGTGGGTTTGCACAGGATCCGGTCTGCAAGGCCACCCAGGAGAAAGTGCACTGCCCGCCTGGCTTCCATGCAGTGCCCCCGGGTGGCCTGGAGGCCCACGCTGCACCCTGGCCCATGGCATCCAGCTACGCTCACCACATCTCCATGTGGGGACTTGGGTGCTGTGACTTAGGCGGAGGGGGGAAAATGGGTGCCCCGGGGCCCAGATGCTGCCCAGGGCCCAGAGGTCAGCTGGACCTGATCTTCCATGCCAGATGCTCACACTTTAATAGCTGGCCAGGCCTAGGGAGTGTACCCATGCATGAATTTCATGCACCAGGCCTCTAGTAATGCTATTTTGGAGACTGCCTTTTATCTTTCTCTCCATTTCAGTCACTATATGGTGCTATAAAAAAAACAATGAAAACATTTCACGGTTTCTGAGAATTCTTTTAAGGGAGTCTTGAAAGGTATGAAGTGTTTTACTGATATACCAAACTTTATCATTATAGACATAGGAATGTATTTGTTCCATCTCACTTTTTTTTATTATTATTATACTACTCTCTTCTTATTCTTCTTTATACCAGTAAATACATTATTAGGAACTATATATATATATATATATATATATATATATATATATATATATTCCTAATAAAATTCAACTGTGTAGGTAGGGTCTACATTGCTAAATTATTGCATTAATGCCAAAACATAGAAGTGTTTTTAATACTACCTGAAGTAGCCAAGTGTTCCAAAACAGTTTTAGTAGTGTGATGGACTTCATTAATAAGTTAAATGTAAACCTGTGAGGTTACTTTTATTGTTTGGTTTTCACAGTTTAGTAACCTCTACAGTATAGAAGTTATTCTGTACTAAATCAGTATTAAGTTAAAATCCATTCACTTTATTCAATAACCTTTTAATATAGTGTATCAAAGATGTGGTTTTTATGAGGGGTTAATATGGCATACTGGCATTATTTCCTGTGTATATTTTTATCCTCACCAAAAGGAGAGAGAGAGGGAGGGAGGAGTGAGGGCGGGTGGGGGAAAGAGAGAGAGAGGTTGTCTCTCATATGCACCCTCACTGGGGATTGAACCTGCAACCTAGTTACATGCCCTGACCAAGAATCAAACCTGTATCCCTTTAGTGTAAGGGATATGCTCCAACCAACAGAGCCACCTGGCCAGGACTCCTGTGTGTTTTTAAATTAATATATAATTTGAGTTGAGATCAATGTAAGTGGAACATCACTAGTAAGAGAATGATTTTTAGTTTTTAATTTCAGTTTGTTTTATTACAGAACAGCCACTCTCCATTCATTCCTAAAATCAAGCATTTTTTGTAACAGTGTTAAAAATGTCTATGGACCGGATAGTGTTTTATTTCCTGTCTGCCTTGAGATAAATATAGACATTTAGTAAATATTTAAAACTTTAATAAATGTGTTTTTATTAAATTCAGAGAGGGGAAATGAGAGCGGGAGAGAGAGAAACATCAATGATGAGAGAGAAGAGTTGTTCTGCTGACTCCTGCATACCCACTACTGGGCATCAAGCCTGCAACCTGGGCTTTTGCCCTGAGTGGGAATCCAACAAATGAACTCTTGGTTCCTGGGTCGATGATTAACCTCTGAGCCACACCAGCCAGGCAAATATTTAAAACTTTTACAAAAATCTGACAGTAATGAAAATTGGGAGCTTGTGTTTTATGTTTTTCAAAGTTCACTTTTATTGTACTATACAAAGGTTATTTTTAACAAACTGGGAATTAGGTTAAAATGGGATTTTCTCCCCCCGCAGATCATTTAACAAGCGCTGCTTTAGAAGACCTAAGGTGAGTCATCTATGGGCACAGTGTCTTAAATGCTATACCTTATACTATAAACAAATCCCAAGCCAGCGTGTATTACTAATCAACTTACATTTACATAAATAACCGTATGGTTTTTATAAAGGAAACTGAGGTGAAAATGAAAGCCAACTCTTCATATTCTCTAAAGAGCAGAGCTTTTACTCCTGTGCCTGAATATCATTTATTAAGTGCCTCCTGTGTTCCAGGTACAATGGGTTGGCTTTATCTCACTTATTGCTATAAAAGTGCAAGGGGGTTGTTCTGTCTTAGGCTCTTTTTAAATAGGAGATGGGGAGGGGTTGTTACACATTTTTTGGAAAGTATTACATAGGCCTCCTCCTTGCCCCCATTTACCTCTCAGTGTGTCCTCTTACGTTATTGTAGAGAAGGTGTTTTCTAATTGTCATTCTAGATTTTTTAGTTCATTTTTTATTTTTTATTTTTTTAGTAATAGAAAGAGGGAAAGTATTATGTTTGAGTATATTTTAGTAGTTTTATATGTATTACTCTCTAATATCAGGAGCTAGTTGGAGCTAGAAGAGGAAGGTTAAAGTATTTGCCAATCTTCAGTAGGAAGTTGGTAGAGAAATTAAGATTTCACTTCATCACACGTGAATTTGACCTCAGAGTCTGTTACTATCAATTATGGATAAATGCAAACTTTTAGGAATAATATGTTCAAGTTATAGTTGATACTGTTCGTAAGGTGGAATCCTTCTTTCCAAACAGGAGAAGCTATTTGATTTTTGAATACATTCCTACTCTTCATGCGGTCATTGTTACTCAACTCTTAGGAATCATGTATATAATATTTGCAGCTAATAAAGTAATTCTTATGATATTTTCTCCTCAGTCTTCTTTGATAATCTGTTTTCTTTTTATATTAGCAAGTGAGAAAAAGGAAGAAAGGAAGGAAGGGTCAGAAAGATGGTGGTAAAGAGAGGAAGGGTGACTTCCCTTATGTAGAGTCCTCAACCAAGTAACCCTTCAGTTGGCTTACTAGATTTTGTTTTCCTCCTCTAAAATACTATAATGCAACCAGCTAATATTCATTTGGGTTTACATTTGGTTTGTCTTCATTTAGTCAGTTCTACCCCTGTTCATTGATATGTCCAACTGCCTGATAGCCTTTAGACAGTGTTGAAAGATTAAGGATAAAACTATCAAGGGCAAGGCTAGACGAGGTGACTGACTGATTCTCTGCTGCCCTCGAAGGCGCTGGATAATGGAGAAGCAAGTGCCTGCATGTGTTGGATTTTGTTAATTGGACCCAGCTCCAGCAGAGAGACAACTGAGGTCATGTCAACACCTTGGAAGGCTGGGAAGCTGGAACTGGAGCAGCTGAGCCAATCCCCAGACAAACAGGTTCTAACCAGGACACAGAGCGCTCGGCTTTAGGGACTTTGCACATCACTTGAGGCAGTGGTTCTGTTCACATCTTTTTCTGCTTCTGTTCCTTTATACATCAAATAGATTCGTTATGAAGACTTATTTCTCTTTGCGTAGTGAAAGTAATTGCTCGTTTTCACGTTAGACTTTGAGGTCTTTTTATTTTTTTCAGAGGAAGAAGCAAGGGAAATACTAGTTCTGTAATTAGGGATTGTGATGGAGAGGCCATTTGTGGCAGCAGGAAGGACGACCTTTTGTTGACTGTTAGCATTTGGTGTAAGATTGAATGCAGATTAAATGTGCTCAATATTCTGTTTAAACATTTCCAGGTTATATAATATCATACACTGAAACTCCATTGACTCTAGAGGGAGATTGTCTTATAGTTTCTAAAGGTGGAGATTTGGATTTTAGTCTCAGCTTCATCACTGGCTTCCACCTCAGACCAAATTAATCAAAATCTTCAGGGGGGAGGGTTCAGGCAGCTGTAACGATTCTTTAATTCCCCTAAATAAATTTGCTGAACAGTGATGGTATAGAACCACAGATATAGAATGATACAGCTGACCTATCTTTTAGGATTTTCTGAAGTTAATGAATATATATTACCTTTGCAAAAGGAACTCTTTAATAACACATAGTGTCTTTTGATTTTCAATATTGAATTGGA